TGGATAACGTTATGAGTCGAGAGGGTAATGTACTATGCTTCATGTACACATTTAGTCCCTAAACTATTTTGTGTACAAGATTTACCATAAAAACCTTTTCAGTTGTTAAAAAACTATCATTATTTCCATGTATTATAGGTAAATGTTAATTTGGAAACAACGTAGCTAAGATGAAGCTAATACACAATTATGGACTTGTATAAAGTATGTGAGCAATATAATCTCCATCTCTGATGCGCTAAATTCGAACGAACATGGTTCTTAAAAATGCCGGCTTCTTTATGTTCTCGAACTTAAGTATGGATGGACAAACCAAAATTTTCATGTAATTGAGGCTTACTATCTTGAATCATAACATCTTAGCCTAAAGATAATCCTATAAATGTTTGGTATCTCTTTTGTAAAACAACTCACCTATAAATGTAAAAGTAAATTTAAAATCACTTATAAATGATTAGATCACAACCTACTAATAAGTGGGTCTTATTTACACAATAGATGCATTTTAAATGACTTATATATCGCATATAAATTCACAATTATGTATTAGATCTAAGTCAATCACGTAAATGTCCAATCAAAATTTATATAAAATGAGGAGTTTTATCTAAAGTGTTCTATAAAACTCTTCATTTTAGTTTCTCATTTTTAGGGGTTTTTTAAGCATACATCATATTTTAATAAAATCATACTAGAAGATAATATGTAAATACAATTATGTAGGGTTTTTATTTAAAATATGTAAAATATAAAAACCTTATTACATATAGCTATAAAAATAATAGAAGTATTGAAAATCTCTAAATATTATTAAAAGATAACCCTTAATTCTAAGCTGAAGAAATCAGTGTCATTGATTGTATTTCAATTCTATATTTTCCACCCTTGGATTATTTGTTGACATCATTTTTGTCAACCCCTTTATTTTTGTCCACAAATTTTATAAAACGTATATTATGTTTTAAAGTAGAAATTCTATTAATGACAATTAAATCTCATCAAAAATAAAATTAATTAAATTAGGAATTATATTAATGACAATTAAATCTCACTAAAAATAAAATGAATTAAATTAAGAATTCTATTAATGACAATTAAATCTCACCAAAAATAAAATGAAAAAATACCCCACCCCACCCTTCATTACTGGTAGCCTTACGCTCCCTCCCTCATTTCTTTACATAATTTATATAACCTAAGTTTTGTACTCGAGAAGAAAATGGGGGGAAAGAAGAAATAGAATATATGTGGACTTCGATCTGTGTGGATCAGTCGTGTGTTCGATCATCATCAGTCGTGTGTTCGATCATCATGGAAGAAGAAGGAATGATATAGAGATAAATTTTCTTTGGATTCTACTTTAATTTTATCATAGTTTAGATCGATTTTGGGTACATTTTAGTGAAAGGTCTAGTATGCTCAATAGTCATATTAAAGTGACATTGCTAATTAACATATGATACTAATGAGTCACGCTAACAAGAACTTGATATAATTGATTATTTATTAGAAATTGATTTTAATAAATATTCAATAGAACTCTTATAATTAAATTGGAATTTATTTATTTCATGGAAATAATAATTTTCATTAGCAAGTAACAACTTATTTCATAATGTATGATTTATTAAGTCATGTGCAACATTTTGGACCAAAAAGACTTTTTGTCTTTTACCAAAAGGTTAAGGTTTATATTTTATAAAAGAAGTTATAAAATTTACCAAGTTTGACTTCTTTATTCTTTTTAAAACTGTGAGCATGCATGCTTGCATGCTAGTGATGGGTTTTTGATTCTTTAAAGAGAAAGAAACCATGCTTTAAAGGCATGGGAGACAAGTAGGCTTTAGGAGACATTATTGTCTTAAAGTGTTAACGACTTATGGTCCATAAAATCACTTTATGCATATAAAAGATGAGGCTTGCACTCACTCTTGCTTCTTGATGCAAATGACCGAAAATTGTCTTCTTCCTGTCATTCTCTCTTAATTAGTTAAGAGCTTTGAAGATTACTTGATTCTACATGCCCTCTTTAAGTTCACATTGGTTATGAACTTAAAGCTTAAGGGTTTCAGAGTTTATGGACTAACATCTACATCAAGTTGAGTCATTGTTGGTGTCTCAAAGGTTCCACATTCTTCTTCAACTTCCAAGAGGATCCAAAGAATAACAAAGGTTGTTATTTCTTCATCCTTTCTATGGTTGGTGTTTTAATCTTTCTATAACTTGCAAGAAGATCCTTTGTGGGTATAAAATATTTATTTTATGTTCTAAAATAAAGTTTTCCGTTTGCCACTCTTTGTAGTTTTTGAAACTAATTTTGAACTAAAACCCAACAATTGGTATCATATCCACCTTGCACGTTTGGTTAGATTTTTTGATTTTTGGAAATCTTAGTTTTTGGAGAATGTGGATAACTTGTTTTTGTATAAAAATAAGTTCATACATATTTTCTATGACAACTTTATATTTGTTATTTTATGTGACAGAAGTTTCATGTATCTTTTGTCATTTAAAGTTGTCTTAGAAAAATAAAGGTTGTTTTATGTGTATGTTGATGTATATTATGTGCATACACTAGCCAATGACCATTATGATTGTTGTGTTGTTGTGTTTGTTGTTTTTATTATAAAATGGTTGTAATAATTTATTTATTCATATGGTATGTAATAATTAAATAGATTAGTTTTTTCTTGTTTATTTTTGTAAAGAAATAGATTAGTTTTTAGAAATAATTTATTTGTACAAAAATGTAACAAGAAATGAAGTTGGAACCATTTTTTTAAGACAAAAGAGCAATTTTCGAATCTAAAAGGTGTGCAGGATTTTCAGTGACATTTTCTGAAAACTGACACCAATGCTGTTTACAAAGGGTTGTTGGACTTTTAGCGACAGTGGCTGAATTTTAGCCTTCAAGAAGTTTTTGCAATCCTTTTGTAAGCAATTGGTGTTTACTCAAGTGGGAGCTTCTTCAACAACATTACAAGAAGATTTTTGGTCCCCTTAAATGTTCCTTTAGGATTGGACTTGGCATTTTTGTGTTGACTCACAAAAAATGTCATTAGTTTGTTATGTTTATGCACATATCTTTTTATGCATGTTTGTGTTGTTTATTTTATGCAATTATTATGTGTGGTTGATAAATTAGTTTTTCACATGCTAAAATAATTTTGGACAAAATAAACACACATGGAGTTTGGGTTTTCAAAATTGGACATAAGATGTAACGAGTTATTATTTTAAAAATAAAACTCGGTTTTATAAAATCGTTAATAACGACAAATTTTGAAATACTTCATTATATTTTAAAATGGTGATTTTTGTAACTTATACAAACTCCAAATATATAAGTAATAAAATTAAGTTTTATTAAAGATATAAAAGGTTCAAATGCACTCAAACTTAATATCGGTTATTAAATTTGAATTGCGTCGAATTATATAAAAAACTAGCTTTTTATATAGAACATTTAAAATATGATTTTCTTTTGAAAATTGATACCATGGTTTATTATATGCATTTAATAACCATGATATCATATGTTTTTAAACTAGAATTATAAAACATATATAAAGACCCTTATTTTACAAATCTCAAATCTATGCAATCTTTTTGAAAAACACCCGCACATCTTTTCTATTAACTAGTGGGATAAATGATACTTAACCTCTTAGTGTTTGTCTTTTGATGGCCGGGGTGTATTTGCGATTTCTATAACCAAGTTATAGGCCGATTACACAAGTTTTTCAAATTTGATGATTTGATCGGAAATCTTTTGTGATAAAAGATACCTAAGCAAGAGAGTTTTGAGGCATAGATGGGATCAAACATGTTTAATTAAATTTATTATTAGCAATCCCATAAATCTAGGAATTATATAGTGAGATATAATTGATAACCAATATCTATCGGGTTGAATTCAAATGAATGGAATAATGGATACCTAACCATTTATTTGTTTTGCAGCTTGGATCCTAGACTTTGATAATTAATCTTTTTGGAAACTAAAAAGGTGTTAATTATTAAAGATTAAATATTGAAAATACTAAATGAATTTTGTTAAAATTTTGTAGTTGAATAATCCATTCTCATTATCATGAATTGTCATTTTCTTTAATGACTTAATGAAACAATAACATTCAATAGATACAACTTCAATGAATGGGTTCATGTCTTTGGAGACAATCTCGTAAGAGATGTGAAATTGTATACACTTAAAGGTCCTAGTCCTACACTATTTGCTTTAAGCAATAAACCTAAACATGATACCTAGTAAAAGCATCATTGTGATGCTATAGATGCTTTTAACATCAAACTAGGAATAGTTATTCATGACTTCTAGGAAATCTTGGATAATTTAAACATATATATGATGATATAACAGGTCAAGCAATATTTCAATAAATACAGTGACATTTTATTTAAAGCTAGTTTAAACATTGGAATAATACAAGGCTAAAAGAGTCACCTAGTGTGATCTAAGAAGCCCATGTTTTATGGAATGAACACCTTTAAGCCCAAGAAATCTACTAAAGCCCACATAGTTGGATCTTGTTTCTTTTGTGAAGAAACTGGACACTGGAAGAGGATTTACTCCTCTTATTTGGAAAGAAATTCTTGAAGAGACTAGTACTTCTAGTATCTACTAGATATAACTCATACTTTTCATATAACACTTAGGTACTTGATACTTAAATGTTAATCTAATATTTGTAAATGGATTGCAGATATTTATTGAAGAGTAACCAACTCAGCACAATCAAGTAGGAACTATGTTTTCGGAGTTTAGTTATTATTTGAACAAATTACTGAAATCGTCCCTTTTGTTTGCTTAAAATTACGCATTTGGTCCTAACTTTTTTTTTGCACTCGGATCGTCCCTACTGTTTGTTTTTGTTTTGCTTTTCATCCCTACAAAACTTGAAAAGACTATAATACCCTTATTTATATTTTTTTTATTATTAGTATGATATTTATTTCTTTTATTGTTTTAATATAAATAAATGTACAACCCTTTTAAACCTGATGTACAACCACACACTTACACCCTAATAAAACTCATTCTAAGCCTGCTGCGACCACGTCTCCTTCATCTCCTTCCTCTTTCTCTCGCTGACTTACTCCTCCGGTGCATCTCTCTTCTACACCGGTCACCTCCTACTGGAGAAGCCATCATTACCGGAAAAAGATCGAGAACAAGAACGCATCACCAACGTTACTCCTCTAGACAACTACATCTCCTCTCTTTCTTTCTCTGTTTCGCTCAAACCCTACACCAGCCACCACCGCTATGTTTTCCGACAATGTCTTTAACGAGTAAGCCACCATCGCCACCAGCAGGGTTTTGATTTTGATTTGGGTAATAAGATTCAATTGGGGACTTAATTTTATATTTTGGTTTGGGGATTTAAGTTAATCGGAGAAAGGTTTGTGGATTCAAAAACATTTGATCTGAATTTCGTCAGGATCTTAATGGATTTGATTTCTGTAACGACTACAACACCATTTCTGGATTCAATTTTTTGATTAATCAGGTTCAAGTGTGGTTCTAAAATGGTTTGATTTTGATTTTAATTTTTATCTGTGATTTCTAGGGTTTTTATTTCACCCAGAATTTCTGGTTTTTTTATTCATCTATGATTTCCAAGATTTTGATTTCATCCACCATTTTCGGATTCAAGTTCTTGGTTTGTTCTGGGGAAGTTTTTTGAGGGTTTGATTGAGCATCGATTGCATGATTTATGGGTTTGGTTTTATAAGTAAGATTTATGGTTTTCATTCACATGTTTAGTTTCTAAATGGAATGACATTAAGCTGGTGATGGACGATGGCAGTCACGGTTGTTGCTGCCGGTAGCGGTGGACGACGACAATCGGTAGCGATGGACGATGGCAATGGAGGTTGGTGGTGGCGGAGTGGTGCTTAATCTTTATTAACAGTGAAGGTGGTCGATAAGAGAGGGAATGATATGGGATGATGGGACCCATATGTTTTTTAAATAAATTTTAATAGATCAATAATAAATAAATTGAAAAAGTAAATAAATAAGGGTATTATAGTCTTTTCAAGTTTTGCAGGGATGAAAAGCGAAACAAAAACAAACAGTAGGGACGATCCGAGTGCAAAAAAAAGTTAGGACCAAATGCGTAATTTTAAGCAAACCATAGGGACGATTTCAGTAATTTGTTCTTATTATTTATGCTTATAACATAAAGTACTTGTATTGTAAAACAATATTTGTTTTGGAACAATGTATGTTTTAATTTAGCATGTCTAAATTTAAGTCTCAGTTATTTTATTCAGATGTTTGATAATTTACTTAATCGTTTTTCATAACAATAATATTCATATTCTGAAATGATTAACTTTTATTTATGAGACTAGATCTCTTAATAGAATTGTAAAGTAAATATAAATATTTTTATAAATAAAATTAAGTTCTATATGCAAGCACATTTTGACTTAAACTTGTTTTAAATCAAACTCATCTTTGACATTGTTATCTTTATTATATAAATGACATTCACATATTCCAACTTCAAGAAAGGGATCTTTGAAGGAAAATAATGTAGTTTATTTGACATATGTGAACCTTATTTATATGTAAAGGACTACTATTGATATTTTCACTAAAGTGTAGAGAAAATAATTAAGGAACTATACACCTTGGTGTATGACTTCCTTTCTGATGAATGTCTGAGATTAAGCACAAGATACCAAGTTAACTTTATTAACAACTATAGTAGTTTTAATTATATTTTACGTGGTAAAGCATAATTGTGAAATCTTTGTTGGAGATTTCAAAAGTTGAGATACAAACCTGTAAGAACCATCTAAGGCCTTAAGGATAATAAAGGATGAATTAAATCTTACTTGATATGATTTACTTTCAAATCGGTAGAAATATCATCCTTTAATCTTTTTGGGATAACACTTTAATCACTATTAAATTGTATCTTGAATACAAATACCAGATAATAAGTAGATTAAACACTTATAAGATTTAGTATGGAAGGGCTCCACCTTCATCTTACTTAGTGTTTTGTGGATTTGAAGTCGATGTTGGACTAAAGCTTCTAAACCCAAAATCTACTAAATACATATTTGTATAATACTCTAAATGTGGCTTAGATTATTATATTCAAACCCGCCAAGAATAAGTCCTCTTATTCTTGTGAAAGCTAAGTTAGTAAAAAGAAAGCTTCTAATAACAAAGTAAGTGGGAGGTACATGGAACTTGAAGTACCTCAAGAACCATAACCTTATGTAGTAATAGTTGGCACTAGTTTTAACAAGGATTGTTAAACTTGAATAATAGTTATTCATAAACACAAATTATTCGCATTAATGGTATAAATCATCTATTACTTGAGAAATGTGGAATCTCTCATTGATGAGATTTTATTGATGGTTTCTGGAAAATCCATCAAATACCAAGATGCTATGTCAGATCTCGAATCTGATAAATGACTTAGAGTCATGAACATGTGATGTAATCCATGTATGAGAATCAAGTATGAACTTGATTAAAGTTTATCCCTATAACAAGGCTAGAAGGAGTAAATAATTATTCTAGAAAGAATAAATTACATGGATAACCATACACATTTAAAGCAAGACTTGTTATAAAAGGATTTTCTCATACTCATATCATTGACTATGGTCCTCATCATACTCATGACATTGACTGTGATCAAACCTTTTTCACAAGTATCTATGACTAGATTAATAAGTATATTGTTTACTATAAATTCATATTCTTAATATGAGATATAGTAAATAGATTTCAAGAAAGACCGCTTTTTCTTAATAGACATCTACTAGAAGATATCTATATAGATTAGCCTGGAGGTTTTCTTAATCCATGTTATCCTAACAAAATGTGTAGAGCTTGAGATCCACTTGTGAATATAAAGCAAACATCTCAATGTTGCAATCATCATTTTAATGTAAAACCACAAGGTATGTTTTTATATAAAAATGAATAGAGCATGTGTGTTTACTAAGAACTACTGGGAGCATAGTGAAATTCCTAATCTTGTATGAATGAGACATACTTAATCATTTGAAATCGCATTCTGACTAAGCAAGGTCGTTTTCAGCTTGACTCCGAAGGTATTCCTAAAATGAAAGACTTAGGAAGGAGAATATACATTCTTGGAATGTAAAATCTATAAGGGATAGATAAAATTAATGTTAAAAGTTTCATATCTTTATACATATGTTGACAATATCTTGAAAGGGATCAAGACACAAGATTCTTTTGGAGAAATCTTGGGATTGTCATATGACACCATTTTGAGCTAGCCTCAAAAGTACACATAGCTCATAGGCTTGAACTAGATGAAATGATTTATATTCTATTTTCTTGGCAAATGAATTCATCATTTATGTCATATTATGCATAGGACATGGTATTTGAACATGTTGTAATCATGTCATAGGATACCAATTGACTACATGGTTAAGTCACTGGATGACTAAGAGATCATTCTAAGAGTACTTTAGAAGAACCAAGAGAATGTATATGAGACAATCAGTTTAGAAAGGATCTTTATGGAAAGAGCTACACAAGACGTTAATTTCTAAACAGATATAAATAATTATGAATTATAATTGGATTTTGACTTCATTATGGAATGAAGGGTAAGTCTTGTTGGAATGAGGTCCAAGCAAAACATAATGACATAATCTACTACAAAATAAGAATACACTACTTTAGAAGTTGAATTCAAATATGATTGGATGAATGGGATCATTGAAAAACTATGTTTATTTCTGCCATTCAATGATCACATAGAAATCTTTATGACTTCGAGAGTATACTTAATCAAGAGTAGAGACTCTATGTCACAAAAGAACACCAATCATATTCTACAAGATATTTAACTATACTTATAGTAAAGTTAAGTATGTAGATAATAGTATTCACAAAATTCACACAAATTAAATTTTGTCAGATCCATTGATAAGGTCATTCTTTTGAGATAAGTATGAATGGTCACACTTCAGCTATAAGACTTTATTATTCTATAAATGGGTTTTGATTTGGATTTAGTATTTGGATATCGGAACATTATAACAACAACTATTAGATAATGTTATGATATATTGGGATATAGTCATCACATTAATACTTGTTGTGTTCTACATTAACATGTTTAATCCATGAATAATGTTATTATTCTAAAAGTTCATAGTTTGTTATAATTATGGGAGCAATTAAGAAGTAAGACTAATATGAATTGGATTTTGTAACACCCTGATTTCCTGGGTGTAGAAACTTGAGGATTTAGTGCAAGTTAAAGGCCCTACTCGACGAGTTGGTTGGCCCCAACTCATCGTGTAGGAGTTGATCAGGACGTGTGGGTTAGGAAGCCTAATCGTCGAGTTGGAGGGAGGGACTCGACGAGTTGAGGCTTTGTGATGAAACCCTAATTTCTCGGATGTGCAGCCTATTTAAAGGACCTTAAGTCCTTTACCCTGCCTCCCTTACCACCTTCCATGTCCAGAGAGTAACCATAGCAAGCTAAGTGTGCGTGTGTGAGGCCAAAAGTGTGTTTTTGGAGCATTCCTTGAAGAGGCTTGAGGACCTAGAGGCTTGGAATGAGGGAAAGCTTGTAGATCTAGCATCTACATCATGTTGGAATCTAGTGGGAGGTAAAAATTCTCTACCTTGGCATTCCATTCCTTAGATCTCTTCTTATGTGGGTGTATGGGCTTTTTGGTGCAAAATGACGCCCATTCTCGAGTTAAGCTTGCCTAGAGGGTACGAGTTTCAGATCTGGACTCCTCTAGGTCCCATGTGCATAAAGCTTCAATCTTTATGAAGCTTTGACCCGTCTTCATGTCCTAAACCCCTTCTTGAGCTTAGTTTTGGGTGATTTAGCCTTGGGTGGCCTTGCATGATCGTAAAGTTAGCAACTTTACGTGGTAACTCCATCCTAGGAGGTTGGATCTGGAGTTTATAGCATTGGAATCGACTGGAATGAGTGTAATAAGAAAGGGGCTAATGAACTCGACGAGTTGGGCATCCAACTCGACGAGTTGAGTTGGGTTTTCCTGTTTCTGGTTTCAGAGTGAACTCGACGAGTTGATGAGACAACTCGACAAGTGGTTAGGGTTTTCCCTGGTCTTCTGGACTTTGCATGGACTCAACGAGTTGGCTAGCAACTCGGCGAGTTGACTCGGGTTTTTGTGATTTCTGAGTACTAAGGACTCGACGAGTTCATGAGCTGCACTCGACGAGTTGAGTCAACATGGACTGTTGACTTGAGTGTTGACTTCCGTTGACTTTTAGGGTTGGGTCAAAATTGTAGGATTTTGAGAGTATGGAGGGGTAAAATGG